AAAGTACATTTGACATCACGTAAAACGTTGCAACGCATAGTAACGTTGGCCCCTCCACCCATATTATAATGCCTATATCCCCCTTTCCAGCAACGCTTCACACCCATCCCATGCTGTAATAGTTGCATTTGTCTCCAGGAATTCCCCATATCCAACCCATATTGTGATACATGTATCCTTCTCTTCTCCAATGCTATCGGCAGTGGGTGTGAGGTGCTCAAGGACAGTGGGCAAAACACATGTTGATGGAGCCCTAAAGCGCGTTCAGATTTTAGCTGCTGCTGTCCAAGTTACGTTGCCGGAGCTGTCACCGTCACGTACTAATCATCTCCGCTTCTGCAACGCCTAGCTTTGCTGGGATGCCGTTGCCAGTTTGTTGTTATAAAAGGAAACATAAGGAAAACCCACATCGGGATGTAAGCCATTCCCAGCCCCAGCCCATCATTTGCCCTGAGATTGGCCCCTAGACCTCTTTTACTTGCCTCTCCAGAAAGGTGTGAGGCAATATTGCATTCATGGAAGTAAAAGGCCAATTATTTGTTTGAACAAAACCTAACTTATTTCACCTGCCAACGAATCATGCTCACATTCGGTACTCTCCACACATATTCTCTGCATTCTCCTGTGCTGGCCGCGTCTTCACGAGACGTTGCAAATCGTTGTTCATGACATGTTTATTGAGATGAAGTCTTAGTTCAGTAAGTTCAACCATCCACTTCCCCATAGTAGCTGTACCTTCAAAAAACAGCGGCTCGTGCCGACATTCCCTGCACCATATCAGCCTGGAGCCGCCCATGGACAACGCGAGGTGTCAAACATTTGTCAGGGCATGTCGGCATAATAGTCGGGAAAGCTAACGAACTTTGGGTGCTCGAACCTGGTAGTCCTAGCGTATCATAGCGCCAGTGGCATGCATAGTCAGTCTGTCATGACTTAAAGCTTTTGTCCGAATGGTAGATGTGCCGGGCCCGGCACTTTCTCGTCCGCCCAATCTGGCATATTGACCAGCATTGCGCCGCAGCGCCTCCTCCTCTCCAGCAGCAGCCAGCAGAGCCCAGAGGCCTACTGCGGCGCAGCGCCTCCTCCTCTCCAGCAGCAGAGCCCAGAGGCCTTCTCTCGTCCAAACTGGGCGCCGGGCCATCGCGCCGAGGATATCGTGCCGTATAGCAGTATAAAAGAAGTAACGCGGCGTGGATCGCTCTGGTCGGACGGCTGTCACCATACATCATCGCGTATGGCGGCGGAACATGGCCTACTGAATGCTAATGGCATCTGACCGCCTCACGGCGCCGACGTCTTCGCGCCATGGTAGACTCTGACGGAATGGGCCGTCTGTCAGCAGTCGGTGGTGAGATCGTCGGTGAGCTCTGACGGTGAGCTTCGTCGGTGAGTGTGGCCGGTGACCTTGACCGGGAACCTTGGCTGGTGACCTTTGACAGCGAAGGTCGACGTTGAGGCGGCTGCAATATAGCTGCGGGAGGCGTTCGTTCTCCTGGCTCCGGGTCGTTTGACGCGCCCCCCATGCCAGCGAGCCACTCCGTAACAATCAGCCGGCGCAGAAATAGCGAAGACGGACCTGACTGCGAACGAGCTGATCAGCTCAGCTGCCACGAACTCGCCTCGCCTCGCGATTGGCCCCCGGCACGGTCGGCAGACTCGGAAGGGGACGACTTGAGGGACCCAGTTTACGACAGGGGGAGGGGCTTGACGACGCGGCCAGGGCGGCGCCGCCCGTCCCGTCGGATGACCAACTTCGCTAATTAGAATTATGGCACCGGCGCTGCAGTTTGCCGAGCGGCTTGCGCTAACGGCCGGTCGGGCGGCTGTTAGTCTCATCTGGCTCCTGTCGGGACGGCGGAAGCTGAGAGACCGATCACGTTCAGGGCGGGGCTCGTGCGTCAAAGACTGCAGCGCTCCTATGAGGATGGCTGCGGCGCTGTCGACAACAGACAACAGAGCTGTCGCCAAGCGGCGTAGTTGCCAGGATCTAACTGCACACACATCTAAGCGGCCTCACGGCTGCATTTCAGTCAGTTAACAACCGCCATATACAAGTCAAATGGTCAGTGCAGTTATTGAGGGCGCTCTGATGGTATTCCACATGGAACGGAATTCGACATATCGATGCGAAGCTAGTCCAGAAACATCGCACATCACGCGGGGATTTCGAGCGTTGAGAATTGCGGCGGTCACACTCCTCCGCGCGACATCGTTTGTTCCGCACCCTTCGGCGCGACATCATTTGTTCCGCACCCTTCGGCGCGACATCGTTTGTTCCGCACCCTTCGGCGCGACATCGTTTGTTCCGCACCCTTCGGCGCGACATCGTTTGTTCCGCACCCTTCGGCGCGACATCGTTTGTTCCGCACCCTTCGGCGCGACATCGTTTGTTCCGCACCCTTCGGCGCGACATCGTTTGTTCCGCACCCTTCGGCGCGACATCGTTTGTTCCGCACCCTTCGGCGCGACATCGTTTGTTCCGCACCCTTCGGCGCGACATCGTTTGTTCCGCACCCTTCGGCGCGACATCGTTTGCTCCGCATTCCTTTGCGTAACATCGTTCGCTCCGCACTCATCTGCGCGATATCGTTTGCTCCCACTCGAGCTTTTCTTCTTAGCAGGTAATAAGTTTGGCGACACGATCACAGGGAACAGCAATGGAAGCATTCCAACCATGCAGAACACTCACAGATCTCTGAATAGGTTCAGTTAGCACTTTCCACGGACGGAGATTCAGCGGCCGTGGACACAGCGCCGAACGACGCACTCGATGCATTCATCAGTCAGACAAGCGTCAACATTAAGCTTACGCTGGCCAACTATCCTACCTATGACAATGCCGCTCGGGTCATCGTCGGGAACATACCCAGCATTCGAAGTTAGACCCGCGCACAGGCTATATGTAGGACTGTCCAGCCGATAAGCGAGTCCTCATCAAACGCTATCGCAATAGAAACGTTGCTTCAGCATATGTCAGAGAGGGGGCGCAGAACCGGAGCAGACGGCGTGGAGGGGGGGGGGGGGGGGCGCTGGCCCCCAGCCTTCCCAAAACTTGACATTGGCCTTTCGGGTACTGGCTAGAGAGAAATAATAAAAAAACAAGGCTGCCTCAGAAGAGCCCCTGGTCCAAAGGCATTCGTGTTTCTGCGGCATTACGGCACTGCCCTGCCCGATCACACAATTTGTCGCCCGAGCACATTCACACCAAGTCATGTGGGCGTCAAAGTGCGAACGCAAAATCGCGAGAGTGGTTACAGATAAAATCTCGCAGGACTAAGCTCAAAGAAACAATGTTTGTCGTTTTTCTAATGATCACCGCATTTCGTCCACCACGGATATCATTTCAGGCCGGGACTCGTGCAATGCAACGCGGCGAGTTACACTGGCATAGGGGGGAGTAACTTGCTTCAACGGTCTTCATAGCCTCTTTTCCACCCAATACTCAGCCGATCTGAGCCCAAATTAAAAACATCAGTGTGCGCAGTACGCTTCGCGATGAAATTGGTACCCCACACAAATCAACACCAGCGTTGGAAGCTGCACCTTGCTACGTAAGACCGTATGATGCCACGGTCGACCACGGTCACAAGTGATGGAGGCCATTAGCATGGAGGTCAGGTGCAGAGGACGCATGAGAGGAACTGGGGAGATGGGCAATGGAGCGACGAAGGCAGATGGACGTCTGGACAATCAGGTGCTGGTGCCAGGGAGCGGGCGTTGAGATGTGGGACGTCCGACGACGAAAGTGGCGAGATAGGATTAGACGCGATAGGCATTAGACACAGATACTTCAGATATGGACAGTTATGATGAAACAGACGACGGCAAACTCAGCGGCAGGACGTGGGCGGAGAAACCAGATGCAGGTAAAAGGGGAGAAAGCCGGACAAAATAAAAGGAAACTGGTGAGCCACAGGAGCGCGTTGAGCCGTGAACAATATCCACCTTCCTGTTTATTGTCGTTATATAAGGCACATGTATAGACATAGACATGAGTTGATTATTAATCACGCATAAGTGTGCCATTTGCCATCGTCATTTCCCGCGACCGACCGCATTTTTTGAAGATCCTGCATATCTACTGAGATTGTGAATCATACCTTTCAGTAGGAGTGCTTCCATATGCAATATACAGAGCTTGACGTTAAGCAACAGTACAGCTCACTGTGCTTACTATAAATCTCACTGTGCTTAAGCTGGACCCGTTCGCGGACTTCGGCTGGAGAGCATTGGGCCCACCAACAACTTGTTCGAGTTAAATGTGCAGGAAGTTGGGACATGTTCTCTGTACTCACATGCTATGTTTCTTGGTATCGCCAGGAGTGCTCTCTTTGCGCCTTAATACCTTTGCACAGTTTGGCCCGTAACATGACCGAACGGGAGACGAGTACTAACTAATGGACCTCTAGTTGCAGGAAGTTTTTCATGGCGTTACCGTATAAAAAGCACTGAAGTGTCCATATTTTAGGCCCTGCGGATTTGTCGATGTTGCAAAAATGCATTGTGGGGGACACATTTGTTTTCATCCCAAGCAAAACTAAACAAGATAACTTTTTAAAAACTACATTCACTTCAACGAATGAACAGAAATAATTCCGGATATTTTCAATAGCCATAGGTCAGAATTAGTCCGAGTCTTAGAGCTGGCCAGCCCCCCCCCCAAAAAAAAACAGGCGATTTGGACGCTTTAGGTCTCGTGTTCCATCTCCACATACATTGCTATTCCTCAGGTGAGATTTACCGGGTTGATGTAAAAAGATGGAACGGGTGCGATCAAATGCTGCAAATTCAACATATGCACAACTCAAAGATGCAAAGATGATGCAAGATGCAACTTAATGCAAAAAAAAGATGCAAAAAAGATGCAACTTAATGCAAAGTATCCTAACATCACATACAGTCTCTCCTAGAAAGCGACATCACAGGGGATCACCGCGATATTCACGATCCACGTCGCCACCCCCGACGAGTCAACCCGCTATCCTCGGTGGCGCACTCACCGACCACATGCAGCTGGAAGGGCAGGCTAATCTTGGGCTCGGTGCTGACTTGGCACTCGTACACGCCGCTGTCGTCGAGCGTCGGCGCCAGCACCTTAAGCGTCCACTCCTGCGTGCCGTCCGAGTGAAGCGCCAGGAAGCGCTTGTCGGTGGTGTAGGTAAACAGGCCCACGGTCAGGATGTGTAGGTCACTCTTGCGCACCCACGACACCTGCGCAGCGGAGGAGCCCGATTAACGGCGGCCCGCGAACAGCGCTGCGCTCCGTGGGATGCGGCCTTTCATGGGACGTGGCCCACGAACAGCGCTGCGCTCCGTGGGATGCTGCCCGCGAACAGCGCTGAGAAACTGTTCTCCGTGGAATGATGTCTGACTCGGGGCGTTTGCGTCAGGGTCTGAATAGTCGAGGTCTGGGCAGGGTGCGTCATTGTGATACCGTGACCCTAGACGCAGTGGATAGACAGGGCAAATTTCGAAGCAACTCGTATGCAAATGACAGTGAAATCTCGCGAATAGAAATGCGAATCATAAGGAACTCGAGTCAGCATGTTGCCACATCTGCGGCCAAAATCTCTGAGAATTCTTTCCTGTGTCGAGAGACAGCTCAAAAGAACCACGTCGACCTATTGAGCATAGCCCAAGCGTACTTAACTTGCGAAAAATAACGCGCCCACGTCGAACGAAATACAGCAGTGAAACACCGCGCACGTGACGACGGCCGATACAGTGCAAATGCGTCCTGTTTCGTGGAACGCTGGTTGACCGGCGCGGGCAGCGTGTAATTTCTTGTCTTACGGCCGACAGCTTCGCGACATTTGCGAACGCTAAAGCCCTGCTCAGCGTCTGGCTGTCACGAGTCGCCGGGCTGCCGCATGATTGATTTCGTTGTTTTATAGTGCTGAACTGCTCCCGAGTTTTCCCTCAACGGCCAGTCGTGACGGCGACTCGATGACATGCCGCGTGATTGATCCCTTTGGGGCGGTCGACACGTAGCCGGCGCGGCACCCAGACGGGCGTGACGTCACCGGCTCACGTGACGTCACCGGTTCACGTAGGTACTGAGGCAAAGTGACGTGACGGGTGTGCTCCAGTAGTCTGCGGCATTATGCTGAAGGTATTGGATCGAGCCATCCGCACGCCAGCCCAAACAGCTGGCGTGCCCCGGAACGGTACAGTTCGTTGTCAGCCTTAGTGCACGCTCTGTCAAAAGCTGTCTTCGTCTGCGCCTGACGGCACAGGTCAACGTCCTGTCTTCGGTCAACACAGGACATGGGGTGGTAATGTGAAATTATCTGCACTGAACGTGCGGGAAGATGTGGTTGATGTCTTATTACCAGGGAACATTGAGCACTTTGTACATGGCCACACCTCCAGTAGTAGGATGTAGGACAAACAGTAGTAGGATGGCATAACGCAAACATTCATTCGAATTTTCAATCTTCGGACATCAGAGAGAATATACCAATCCAGTATACGTTCAAGAAGTGAAACCAGACTGAATGTCTGTAGGTCCGTGAGAGCTTTATCGGATGTCTAATTAAAAACTGCCATTTCTGGTACAACAGAAAAGGCTTAGACTGCTTCGATGGTTGGTACTAAAGGCACGGAATAACACATTCCCTGTGCATATGTTTATGAGTATGAATACACCAATGGGAGCATTTTGTAGTGTGGGCTCATTTGCGCAAATATAGAAGCCTAGAAACGTTGCATATGGTGCCCATGGAAAAGTCACAAGCTGTCGATTTGGTAAGAGGGCAACAGAAATCCATGAATGCCCCGAATGCATGAAGGTCTATTGGTATTTCTGTTGAGTTCAATTGACTTTCCCTTTCATGAGATCCCTTTCCTTTCATCGGATTGGTCGGATCGGATCGGGTTGATCATTTCATCGGGCTGAATATCATCAGATTTCGTGTTCAGTCGTCGAATTCTGTCATTTACTACTGCCGGAAGACAAATGAGTTTGCGGCTTCAACTTTTGAGCACATGTTAATTCTTTGCTTAGGTGACTTGTGGCCACACATATGTTCACACGTATATGGGACAGTAATATAAATCGCGTAGAGATGTGGTTACCCTTTTGTAGAGCGTAACGCCTGTGTGCCGAGTGACTAGAAGGAAAGCTTTGTCACTCGTAAGGAGCCCCACAATTCCACAAGAATGCAACGAGCAAGTGTCAAGCACGCTGCACATGCATCAGGCGAGAAAAATAGAAGCTCTAGATCAGGGCTAGATCTAGAAAATCGCTAAGGATAAGGACAACGACGGATTTTTTCCGCAGAATTCGCTACCTATTACTTGAAGAAACGTTCTGAGACAAGCTTTTTTAAGTGAAAGCTGCTCAATTTTGTCAAAGTCAAGAAATGTATTAGTTTGTGTCCAATTTGTCTATCTGAGCGTGAGGGAGGGGTATGGATAGGCAGACCCGTTGGATCAGCCGTTGCTCTACAGCTCGCTACACTCTGTGCAAAATTACAAAACAAAATTGATGGCCACCCGGTACGGGCGAAGTGTTGGTGGGCGGATTTTCAAAAGAGGGCATAATATGACTTCACCCTCATATACCTTTCAAGCCCAATTCTCCAAAAAAGCTCAATGCTCAGATAACTTAACTCTTATGGTAAAAGTGCGTACACTTTGAGCATTAAGACATCATTGGCAAAGAGTTAACGCATATTTTGTTAAAGCAGAGCTTGAGCACATTTGTTGTTGCTGGTTGTTCTTTAAAAAAGCACATTTGCTAGTTGCCCTTTCTGAGGCGAAAGAGCCGCGGGCTTCTCTGCTCTACAGTGCAGCAGCCCTGTAAAACACAATATACCTAAGGCACACAAGGTGCAAGGTACTTGAGGCAAAATCTCATGGAAAGAGCAACATACTACTTGCCATTTGGTCTCCTCTCCGGTAAGTCAGAGGTGCCAATTTGCCCATTTATGATGCATAACTGACATCACTCCTTGATACGGCAGATATGCTTATCATGATAGTATGACCCAGGCGGCATGTTTCTCAATGATATCTGTGAGAATAACGCTGGCGCGCAGGGACACTTAGTGAGATAATTTGCGGGAGTAGCCTACTGATACCGTGTTGCAAGGCATAATACGGCCGCCAATAATTCTACTGAACATGCATTCGGCAATTACAACATTTCGTATATCCGAATATCCCGCCTGTTCCAATACCCGAATACCAGAAACAAAACGAATACCCAGGTCTATTAACAGCACGCGGCCACATCTGAGCTGAGCATATCAGTAAAACGTGCGTGCCTCTACGTCCTCTATACACTTAAATCGACAGCCACACGCCTCTCCTCCAACCACGATAGAAAAGAACTGAGCCCCGAACACTCGATACCAGGATACCGGAAAGAAAACAAATACCCAGGTCTAGTACCAGCACGCGGCCGCATACAAACTCAGCACATCAATAAAACATTTCCTTTCTCCAGGTCTTTCAAGTAAATAATTACCATGTGCTGGAATCGACAGTAACACGCCCTCTCGTCTAACCAGGATGGAAAAGCTCAGCGGTATACAAAACGCAGAATTTAGCGATATTTCATGGCAATGAGCAAAATCTAACGTTGATTGCGAAATCCGGTCAGAAAAATGACACCAAGCGGTAGAGTACGGCATCCGATAAAAAGGAGTAGATTCGGCAGAGGGGAAAGGGAATCCGACGGAAGAGAAAGGGGATCCGACGGAAGAGAAGGGGAATCCGATGGAAGAGAAAGGGGATCCGACGGAAGAGAAACGGAATCCGACGGAAGAGAAAGGGGATTCGACATAATAGGAAGGCTCAGACGCGCTATAAACAATCCAGCGGAAGAAGCCGGAATTTATCGACAGAAGGCGGCGAAAGCGGTTGTGGTCGGATTTAGAATATGGCGGGAAAGAGGGGAGAACAGAGCCCGACTGAAGAACGTTGTGCGGCAGTAGAGCACAAAATACGAGCCGATGAAGGTACTTGCAACTTGCAGATAAAGCCGCTGGTATGGGCTCTGCGAAGAACAAGAGGACGCAGCAAAGGTCCGATTAAGCCTGCCGTGACCTGATAAAAGTGACAGATTACGCAATAACGCGGCGGCAGCCCGAATAAATCTGTTTAATTGTGCATGGACAATTCTCAAACGGTCATTCGCATGATTCAGCACCGGCAGTGCGGTCTCGGCGAGCTGGGCCTCATTACGGCCGGCAGACGGAAGTGATCCTGTAATTCCGCTCCGATCTCAGCCCACCCCCACGCCGAGGAGCGCGACCCGGCAGACACGGGCCGACGGTACGGCAGCGGTCTTCCGATCTCAGCCCCCCTCCCCCACACTGAAGAGCGCGACCCAGCAGGCATGGGCCGACGGTACGGCAGCGGTCTTCCGGTCTCAGCCCCCCCCCCCCCCATCCCAAGCAGCGCGACCCGGCAGACATGGGCCGACGGTACGGCAGCGGTCTTCCGGTCTCAGCCCCCCCCCCCCCCATCCCAAGCAGCGCGACCCGGCAGACATGGGCCGACGGTACGGCAGCGGTCTTCCGGTCTCAGCCCCCCCCCCCCCCCCCATCCCAAGCAGCGCGACCCGGCAGACCTGGGCCGACGGTGCGGTAGCGGGTCAATGCAAAGCTGGCGAGGAATGGAGGGATAGCCGACACGCAATTCTGTTCTGACATCGTTTGACCTGTTGGAATCATAAGTATGTGACGTTTTATTATCAAATAATTAAAATAGGAAGGAAGCTTGGCACAAGCGTAGCTGCCTTCATCTCCAATGCTTAGCCACCACGTAGCCATCACGTTTCTACTAAAGCGGCCAGACAGCCCTGCATCCCAAACCGTAATGCAATGTCCATGCCTTGGGTTGGCTATTCCAAAACGCGGCGCGAGCTGTCTGCCCGCGAGCCCACACAGGAGGGTCTGCGACATCCGAAGCCGAATTCCCAGCACGGCGTCCGCGCGACTCGCGACCAATAACCGATGAGGCGGTCGGTATATCGGAAAGATGAGCTGATTGCATTAGCGCCATCAAACAGACCGAAGCCCGACTCAACTCTGGTCACCGGTAAGCTGAGCGGCGGGTGTGGTTGGGGCTCTGGCGGCACCGGTAAGCTGAGCGTCGGGTGTGGTTGGGGCTCCGGCGGCACCGGTAAGCTGAGCAGCGGGTGTGGTTGGGGCTCCGGCGGCACCGGTAAGCTGAGCGGCGGGTGTGGTTGGGGCTCCGGCGGCACCGGTAAGCTGAGCAGCGGGTGTGGTTGGGGCTCCGGCGGCACCGGTAAGCTGAGCGGCGGGTGTGGTTGGCGCTCCGGCGGCACCGGTAAGCTGAGCGGCGGGTGTGGTTGGCGCTCCGGCGGCATCGGTAAGCTGAGCAGCTGGTGTGGTTGGGGCTCTAGCGGCATCGGTAAGCTGAGCAGCGGGTGTAGTTGGGGCTCTGGCGGCACCGGTAAGCTGAGCGGCGGGTGTGGTTGGGGCTCCGGCGGCACCGGTAAGCCGAGCGGCGGGTGTGGTTGGGGCCCTAGCGGCACCGGTAAGCTGAGAAGCGGGTGTAGTTGGGGCTCTGGCGGCACCGGTAAGCTGAGCGGCGGGTGTGGTTGGCGCTCCGGCGGCACCGGTAAGCTGATCGGCGGGTGTGGTTGGCGCTCCAGCGGTACCGGTAAACTGAGCAGCGGGTGTGGTTGGGGCTCTGGTGGCACCGGTAAGCTGAGCGGCGGGTATGGTTGGGGCTCTGGTGGCACCGGTAAGCTGAGCAGCGGGTGTGGTTGGGGCTCTGGCGGCACACTTTCATCTCCTCACCACCGGCCAAATATGCATAGGCTTATTAATTCCGCCCTCCAGTGCTTGGCTAAATTTGTATCAAGCTTAGCGCAATTCTGTTTTAATAAAAGCCAATAACGCAAGCAGTCAGAGGATTTTAACTATGGCAGTGCTGAGGTGCCACATGGAAAGCACGTCTATAACAGCCTTCAAGTGCTGCAGTGCAACGCGCAGCTGCAGCTGAAGAGATTAGGCCGAATTAAGGTCATTTTCGATTTCAGTGGATAAAACAAGGAGCAAGACTAATTTATCCATGCGGTATTTTTTCTTTAGCGCTGTTTTATCTTCACGCTGCAACAAATCAGAGAAGTTTGGCAGCTTTTACATGCACCCTATGGAGGGTGGGGAGAGGAAGGGAGATGAAAGTGACACTTAACGAACATAGAAAATGGGACGCGTGCAAAGTGTAAGGCCACCCAGAATGACTTTTATTTCCGGAAATTTTCAGATTTTGTCGCAAGGAGGCCTTATCTAAAACCGCTACTCTGTTCCAGAGTCCTTTCACTGTGAGTCGATGTGTATGGCGGGTGTCGAGTGGGCGCAGCAAGACCAAACATAAACGCGAAAGCAACTCGGCGGCACAGATCAGCAAACGACCTCATACTTGACCACCCAAAGATGCACCAGGTAATGCCACCATTTCAGAAGTGATCACGAATCTATCGTTCTGCGTATTGAACTAACAGATTTGACCATGAAATACAACGACGTATAGTCCAGTACACTGCCACCCATATCCATCATTTTTTATATTTTTCACCATGCCGTGGTCCAAACGAGCAAAACGTAACTAACTATAGCCCAGCTCCACAACAGGTAATCTCCAAGCCACGTGGTTGGTTATTAAAAAGCACGAGAATGCCTCGGATGGGAACGAGTGCATCTCTGTCTATTACGCTCTCATCAAAAGCAGGCTTTCCAGTGCATTGGCCTGACCCATCTGCACGGTTCCCAGAGGTGTCTGTTTCTATTAACTTTGGCTTTAGTATCATCTGCATGATTATATAATTCATTACTCACATGTCTACTGCCATCTACTTCCTCCTGCGTCGCCCAAGGCGTTTCATTGAGGTTCATCCCGTCGTGCAGTGATAGAGCTTATTTTAGATGAATGTCTAAAAGCATGAAAAACCTGCGCACCTGCGGATGCATACACATCGGTAGGCGAATGCCAGGCGAATCATGTCGGCCGCTCGGCAAGCACACCGTCTGTCACGACAGAGCCGCGCAAGATTTACGCTGCGAGCACCGGCCGGCCATCAGTCAGACACGTGCCCAAGGCGCCGGCACACTTCGTTAGCATTTCGGAGATGGGGAAACCCACCAGAGCTAACTGTGGCGCCGGCGTCGATTAATTCTCAGAGTTAATTTCGAAAATAGCCGCGGTCTCATAAAGAATTCTATTCCAAAGAATAGAGGTAAAACGGGAAGGTAGTTAGCGTAATCACCACATGTGAAACTTTCTTCCTCTGAGACGAGGTCAATGTCATCTTTAATAGCGTTGAAGCGTTGCAAGGTTACAGGGTTCGTCAAAGATGGGCTTGCAGCGTAGAATATAAATGTTGCCCATAATTTCGCGGCTGAAAGATCGTCTTACACGAGGCGAATGGAAATCTTCATTTGGTAAGCTGGCGAGAGAAGATATAAATATGTGGGGCCACATGAAATTCATTTCTAGCGCGGCTACTCGATTTATAGAAGAGTCACTTCCTCATATAGCGTTTTGCATCCAAACTGATTTAGTTTGCTGTCATAACGTCGTTTTCCGTTTTCTCCTGCAACATTTCCCTTGATATTTCGCAGCCGTGCATGGGTGCCCGCAGACTGCTGCCAAATGCTGCGAACTGACCGTCTTGTCGCCTAGGTGCTGTATTTTGCAGTGTAGGTGAGCAGGCCGGCCGGCGGGCGACACCACGTGCAGCGTGCTGGTGTTGAGGAAGACAGGCTGCAGCATGGAGGGCCGCTGCCATGGCGGCCGGGACGGCGGCTCGTCGGCCGACTGCAGCACCGTCACTCCTGCCGGCGGACCAGGCCTGTCACAACTGTCGACAGGGCCATACTGTCACAACTGTCGACAGGGTCATATTGTCACAACTGTCGACAGGGTCATGCTGCCACAGCCGCCGACAGTCCCTTACTGTTACAACTGTCGACAGTCTCATACAGCCACAGCCACCGACAGTCCCTTACTGTCACAACTGTCGACAGGGTCATACTGCCACAGCCACCGACAGTCCCTTACTGTCACAACTGTCGACAGGGTCATACTGCCACAGCCACCGACAGTCTCATACTGACATAGCCACCGACAGTCTCTTACTGTCACAACTGTCGACAGGGTCATACTGCCGCAGCCACCGACAGTCCCATGCCGTCACAATTGGCGACAATCCCATACGGCCACAGCCACCGACGGTCCCATACCGTTACGATTGGTGACAATCCCATACGGCCACAGCCACCGACAGTGTCATGCTGACAAAGCCACCGACAGTCCCATACTGCAGCAGCCACCGACAGTCCCATACTGCCGTAGCCACCGACAGTCCCATGCCGTCATAACAGGCGACAATCCCATACTGCCACAGCCACCGACGGTCCCATACTACCGCAGCCACCGACAGTCCCATGCCGTCACAATTGGCGACAATCCCATACCGCCACAGCCGCCGACAGTCCCATACTGCCGCAGCCACCAACAGTCCCATGCCGTCATAACTGGCGACAATCCCATACTGCCACAGCCACCGACAGTCCCATACCGCCGCAGCCACCGACAGTCCCATGCCGTCACAATTGGCGACAATCCCATACTGCCACAGCCGCCGACAGTCCCATACTGCCGCAGCCACCGACAGTCCCATGCCGTCATAACTGGCGACAATCCCATACTGCCACAGCCACCGAAGGTCCCATACTGTCATAACTGGCGACAATCCCATACTGCCAACCCACCGACAGTCTCATACTGACAAAGCCACCGACAGTACCATGCTGCCGCAGCCACAGACAGTCCCATACCGTCATAACTAACGACAGTCCTCTACCGTTACAATTGGCAACGGTACTATGCCGTCACAACTGGCGACAGTCCCATGCCGCCACAACTGGCCACAGTTCCATACTGCCACAACTGGCGAGAGTCCCATACCGTTACAACTGCCGACAGACTTATTGTCACACGTACCAACAAACCTATATTGTCACACGTACCAACAGACCTATATTGTCGCATCTGCAGCCGGACCCACATTGTCGCATCTGCACGCAGACCCACACTGTCACTCTGCAGACAGACTTCCTAGCACATCGCCTCTAACCCCCTCAGTGGCGTAAATGGTGTTAATACAGGTGGGAGGTTCCAGGTTAAAGTCTGACACCGGTAGGCTGCTCCTCATCGGCTCCTACCTAGGAGATGACAGCGACTGGGGAGTGATCCCCCTGCCGCCAGATTAGCGCTGCTTCGACCAGCGCTGGTGGCTCTGGGCTCATTGGTATGGTCTGCCTTTAAAAAGATCCTTCAGTCCGGTGACCCGTCTCGAAAGCACGATCTCACCCTCTGCGACCGGAGCAGTGTGGCCATCGAGCCTGAGAAGGGGGATGGGCCCGCTGCATGCGTACGTGCTACGGCGGACATCCTGACAACAAGCGCGAGGTCAAAACCGCCCCGTGAGGACACCGAAAAATGAGCCTATGCCATGTGCAGTATTCGGTGTGTGCTTGTATGTGTTCCCCGGGGTGAGCACAGAAAATGCCTTAAAAACAATACCACCACACCTACCGATGACCCTTCACCGCCACGCCTGTAGAAATGCGTCTGGCGACAGACCTGCACCATCACGCTAGAAAACCATCAAAGACCCAAACCCCCGTACCTGCCAACGTCTACCCAAATCATTTTTTCATTAGCCTTTTCTGTAACTACTCTTCTTTATACCATAGATAAATTTTTGGACAGGCGCGACTGTTTTGCTTTCATAGTCTAGACAAGTTGTCCCCAAGTTCCTGAATTTTACCCCTTGTGATTACTGTGCTCAACAAGCCACAGGTTCAGGGACACAAATGCATTGGGACCTGATACACTGGGAGGTTGACGCGCGTCAGTGGCACGGCCAGCCCGCCGCTGCACCCGCCGCAGCCCGCAGCGTCAGCCCGGACCATGGCGCCGTACATCCAACACTCTCATGTCGCCGTGTCAGCGCCGTCGCTGGGCTGTCCATGCCGACGCTGAACAAGCTCATTTCGGCTTGGCTCTGACGCGACGGTCCGGCCTCCCTTGCCCGCTCCGAACAAGCTCATTTCGACTGGGGACTGGCGCCGGGGCCCGGCCTTTCTAGCCCGACGTGCACAGTCGAGTGAGCTGCACCGGCTCCTGCAGCTCAGAGAGGTGCACCGCTCCGGTGGGCTGCACCGACCCCAGCAGCTCACAGAGGTGCACTGCTCCGGTGGGCTGCACCGACCCCAGCAGCTCACAGAGGTGCACCGCTCCGGTGGGCTGCACCGACCCCAGCAGCTCACAGAGGTGCACTGCTCCGGTGGGCTGCACCGACCCCACCAGCTCAGAGAGGTGCACTGCTCCGGTGGGCTGCACCGACTCCAGCAGCTCAGAGAGGTGCACTGTTCCGAGCTCCGTCGCCACTCGGACGGCTAGGACGACAGCCGGTGGGCTGCACCGACCCCAGCAGGTCAGAGAGGTGCACTGTTCTGAGCGCCTCCGCCACTCGGGCGGCTGGAGCGACAGCCGGTGGGCTGCTCATGAAAACACCCTGGCTGGGATATGCGAACCGTTCTCAAAGCAAAAGGTAGACCGGCAATGATTGTGAAGACTTTACGGATAATCAATGTCGGGGAACCCCGCGTCAAAGTTGTCTGATGGCCTTTAGAAGATCAGACATCAAAAATACCTACCACTGCCTTTCCACGCATGTGAACATGTATGTGCGTTAGTTGGCCTTTCGGAGCTGTGGGCAAAGACGTGATTGTTTGGTGCCGCCTAAACCAGCAACTATTTTCCATCAGTGGATTTGTACATCAGCAAAAGCTTGGCATGCGAGTATGATTGGTTGTCACGCAACGCCCTGGGCCTAGCAATGGTCTTATCGAATATCACGAACGCAACCACATCTTTATTTAATAGCGAAGCTTCATCCGTGGTAATGCTGAAGCCAGGTCAGAAGGGATTCTGGCCTGTCCTTACTTCATGTGCTAGCGTGTGCACGGTGTATTAGCGCATGACACAGAGCATAAGCAATGGATAATGTCTAGTTATTCGATCATAAATTTCCAATGCATCGTTGGTTGTGCGCTGAAGAAGGCATGCACCGGTAAATAATGATATCTGTCACGGCAAACTCGATGAAAATTGCTTCCTCGGCGTTTCGTGTCAGCTGGTAAGTTCATAAGTTAACTGGAACTGACTGTTTGTCACGAACAGCCGCTGAAAACCACGTCGTGTTGAATAACGTTTTGAGGTCGTTGATCGCTACGCCCCAATACGTCGCTATTATCTAAGCCTCGCAATGAAAATAGCATGGCCTGCAGGGCAGATGCTAGACCCTATCTTTGTGCAGGGCAAATTCGCTAGGCTGTTTTTTGAGCTTGCGTTTTGAATCTGTTCCAGCCAGTGTCCTGAAACCGACTGAATTTTTCTCAACGTCCACCGCGCGTGAGCTGTCAAAATTTGAGTTCTTTATTTCACCCAGAGACGATTTCAAGACTGTTTTTAGAACGGCATGTCATGAAGAATCGCTGGCCATCAAGACAGATTTTGCAGTTCATGGTTATTTTGCTATCCCCGACAAAGCAGACTGAAGTGAGTTAAAGCGTAGCCCATGACATCAAAACTAATCATATTAAGGTTTTCTGTGGTACATGCTGAGTGCCAGGGGAGTAATAAGGGGAGGATGTTTGGGTACCGAGCAGCCCACACTAGCTGCGCAAAAGGGGAAGAGATTTAGGTATCGGGGCGTTCACACTAGCTACGCTAAATGGAAGAAAGTTCGGGTACCGAGTCGTCTACACCAGTTTCGCAAAGAAGAAGCGGCTCGCGTGCCGAGCTGTCCGCGCTAGCTACGCTGAATGGGAGGATGCTTAGGTACCGAGCTGTTCTAAGCTTGAGCTGCGGTAAAGAAAAGGACGTTTGGGAACCGAGCTGCCTACGCTGTCTCAGCGCTATAGGGGCGGAGGCGTAGATACCGAGCTGTCCACACTACCCACGCTAAATGGGAAGAGGTTAAGGTACCAAGCCGTCCACACTAACTGCGCTTAAGAAGAGAGGTTTGGGTACCGAGCTGCCTACACTATCAGCGCTAAAGGGGAGGAGGTTTAGACATCTAGCTGTCCACACTACCCACGCTAAATGGAAAGAGGTTAAGGTACCGAGCTGCCCACACTAACTGCGCCAAAGAAGAGGAGGTTTGGGTACCGAGCTGGCCACAATCTTCTCCGTTTTAGCGTATCTAAAGCCGAGAAGGGTTGGCTGCCGATCCGTCCAAACCAGTTGGGCCAAAGAAACGAAGGTTTGGGTGACGAGTTGCTCACATTAGCAACGCCAAAGGGTAGGAGGTTTAGGTACCGAGTTGTCCACACTAGCTGCGCTAAACGGCTTGTGGAAACGAAGTCACTTTACTGGGAGGGGCTGTTGAGAACTTCTGATAATAACATGCGCGCAGATAGCGCACATCACGTACATCAATAGGAGCTTTGCATGTGCAGGGGCAATACCAGGCCATAACACCAGGGGCTGCAGCGGGCATGCATTTTTACTTCGAACATCCAGCAGCCTGGCTAAAGTTTCGCTTCTCTGACCGCTCACATCACCCACATTAGCAACGATAATAAGCATAGATAATAGGAAACATTTATAGGTATGGACGAGGACAGTGCTGGGCATGCACCTCATCCAGAAAGTCCGGGAAACTGGTCTCGAGTGAAGTTTCCCTAAGGAGAGCAGCCCAAATTAATGGGCTCCCGGTAGTCATACAGGGACTTATACCACCATTCATAGGCGCCGAACT